GGACAGGGCGGCCAGTCACCGCTGGGGGAAAGGGCTGGCGCGGGCCCGGGTGGGTTGGGGGAGGAAAGGGCAGCAAGGGGAAGGGAGGCAGAGGCGCAGTTTCTGTGCCCGTGAAGCATATGGGTAATTTACGCTCAGTCGTTGACCTGTCAAGGCCTCGCAAGCTCTCTCTTTTTATTCTCCAAAAAGAATTTCCAAGGGGTTCCTTATTCCCTGATTAGCATGATTTATGATGTTGTACATCAAGACTCATCACTCTAGTAATGTCTTTTAGAGAAGACTAACTGGTCCCTCTATGGCAACAGCCACCCATGAAAACAGCCAGCCAGCACGGAGCTGGAAGCCTGCGGGCTCCTTCAGCAGCTGTCATAAACCTCTACAAGCACCTTCCAAGTATCTAGAAAGTACTTTCCTCTTCTTCCTTCAATTCCTCCCACCAGCTGCCCATGCACACGCAACCAGTCATCCTAACTGAAAGCCGAGTTTATTCAAAAAAAAGCAGAAGAAACAGGAAGTTTCAAAGAAAAACATTTTAAAACATAAACCCAATAGGATAATCAGCACAAAAATGTAGCTGGCTTAATGATTAAATACACAGGTCAGCATAAGATAAAAATCTGGTGCAACAGGAAGCACTCTTCCTCAGTGACCATTTGCTATCCTGCTTGTCTGCTCAGTGTCCCATAAGACAATTCCTTAAAAAGCAGTTATGTCAGCTGCAGAACTAACAGATATGGCCACTGGGGTTAGTAACTCAGGAGTCTAGTAATATTCTAGGTTTACATCACCATAGGAAAATATAATAGCAATATAAACCAGCGTGGATCAAGTCAGTAATCAATGTAACTTGAACGTAAACTCTAACTCACCCAAATTTTAGATATCTTTGTTGAATTACCTAATTCCAGTCCTACATGCCTATTTTCACATACTTCTTGTCACAAGTTTTGTGGAATGTTTTGCCACTAGTTACAATGGTATCAGGATTCAGCCTGCGGTATAATCTAAGGGCCCAAAGTCAGCAATCACTTCATTCTCAAAAACTCTACTGAAGGCAACAGAAGACTCCTGTTATGCACTACTGACAGAACCCAGGGGTAAAAATGACTCTTCCAAAAAAATGAAATGAACAGACCATGAATATATCACAATGAGTTCCCTATAGTTGACAGCTTATGGGCTACTGCCCAACATTTTGATTTTAAAAAGAGTGATTGTTGTGTAAGGTAATGAAATAAGTGCCTTCAAGAGGTACACTGGGGCAAGGGATAGTAACAGAAACCCATATTTTGCCTCATTAAAACATGCCACCACAACAGAAATAAGGAAAGAGGGTAACACCCTTTGTCAGCATAACTTAAAGCTATCCAATGTGCCTGGATTTCTTTACCTTCTGTTTATGAAAAAAATCTATCCTGTAATGAATAAATACTAATATTTTTGAAGGAAGTAATTTGCCAGAAGAGAAAGGGACAGTACAGAAGATACACGTGTTGTCAAACTTTTGCAATCTAGATAGGGAACTTTCAAATATATATTCCAATGGCTTGCAAATATAGGCTGTCAGATGTACTTAGGGTACTTGAAGATTTCAGAAGCATTTTTAGGAAACAAGACCAGGTCATGATTTTAGTATTATGAGAATTGGGGAACACTACAAAAAACAATGCATTTATATCCAATTTAAAATGGGATATTAAAAAAACCCAAAACAAACCTACATAGATTTTAATACATACAGAGATAAGAAAAAGTATTCTGAAGGTATGAATAGCCAACCATGAACTAAAAACAATCCACTATCACATTTTCTGTAGCAACAAACAACTTCTCCACACACTGGCATTTCCCACCAAAAAAAATGTTTAATATAAAAAGTTTACATTAAAGCACAGCAACATTTATTTCAGCATTTTAACCACTGAGGTGAATTAACTTAACTAGTCTAATATAGATTTTCCAATAGCAAATTACAGGAAAAGATACAGATTCTGTGACAGTCAAATTTTAAATTGACTCAGTGTGCATGTAACTTCGTCTCTTTTAAGCAATTTTTAGGCTATGTCAATGGTGCAGCTGGATGTGAGATAAAAGCAAAATTACAGTCACTTAACATGGACAAGCTAGGTGAGGTAACGAACCAGTGAAGATGCAGCAGAAGAGACCTGAAGATGCATTAAAAATCTTTGTATATAATGCAGGTGCTCTAAGGAGGTTTTGTACAGCCCTATTGCTGCCTCTTCTCTGCTACGGTTACTAAATAAAGCCCAGCAGGCAACCTCAGTCAGAAAAGGAAAGAACATGGAAGAATGGATAAATAAGAGATCAGAAAAATACGGAGACCATGACAACAAAATGCCAAAATGCAGAAAAGTAAGCGTAAAAAACATTATAGCAAGACTGCAAATATTGGTTGTTTATTGTGATAAGAAGATTCAATGAGATAAGCATCACAAATTATTACACAAAGTAAAAAATGGAAAAGAAAAAAATAGATCAGGAGCTTCTGCTTTCCAAATTCATAAGAACTAAATTTCTAACAAAATTTAAAAATCTAATTCAAGATAAAAACTGCATGAAACGGTTACGATATGAAAAATCGCTACTGTGAGAAGTCAAGCAGACAAAAATGAGTATGTTAGTATGGATAACAGAATTATCCACTCTAATAAGTCTTCATGTTAAAATGTCAGGACCAAATTTTATGAGCAGAAGCCTATCTGAAACTCTTAAAAGTTGTACTGTCTGCTGCGAGGTTTTCCACATCCTCTTACTCAGTTCCCACATCTTCCTCAGGAACAAACTTATGTTGGACACTGCTGGAAATAGCTGGGTCTAGGTGTGGTGAATCAACCTCATAAATCCTACACTTACGTACTTCTCAAGTATGTAATATCTTGTAGAGGTGAAACACATTTTGACTGAGGGAGGAAATGCTTAGGTATCTATTTAGAGTCTTCTGTCTTCCTTAAGATTAAACTGCTTCTACTGAGGCTGGAAGCTTTTCACTTCTAACATTTATATATTCAGGTAGCAGAGGTCCAAATCCCCATAAAACAAGAAGATACAGATTTATCATTATGAGAAATCATTTGTCAGCAGTGTAGAGATGAAAAAAAAAAGATCACTGGAGCATGTTCATTTAACTGATTGATGTCTGAGCTGTCTGTACCTGCATATATACCTGTAGTGACTCACCATTGGAATAGTAAAAAAGCCAATGAGAAAATTTGCAAGAGCCATTTCTGAGAATTGTGTTGCTTATTAGCCAGTGATTTGCCAAATTCTCTACAGGTATTGTCTTCCTTTCTACAGCTGTGAAAAATTCTACCATCCAGAATCATGGGTGATATTCTTAGAAGAAAAATTACAATTCCAGCATTTATTTTCAAATTTTTTCCAAGACACTGTAATGTCTGCTTTGCCATTTGGTTGTTTGTCCATTTTACAGTGAAGTTACTGAGAAAATGTTTTTCCATTCACCCATGGAAGTCACCTCTACTCCAGTTAAAAAATAAATGGGGAAACAATAAGTGCAAATACAAATGTTGATTGTGTAATTCTTAGTCCAAATATTAGAAAGAGAAATTATTTTGCTGAATGAAAACATCAGATATGCAAATGACTTAATAAATCATGATTTTCAATAATTTTATTTTTGTATGAAATTATCCATCAAATTAATATTTCTGATTTCTACTAAAATATTCTTGAAGTCAGACATTACTGGAAGTGCCTGCGTAAGAAATGCATATGGCATCCATGTGTATACAGCAGTGGAATTATTAATACCAATGCTTTGCTAAGAGTTGATAGTGATGGAACACTTGCAAGTGCTGTTCCTAAACAATGATGCAATCAAGCATATACCATTTCTCTAGGGTGTTAAGTTGATAAACATTCTGTAACAGGCACTTCTATTTTTCTTGCTGCGATTAATGCAAACAAGATGATAATGGAAACTAAAGGTAAAATTTGCTGCTATTTCTCTTTTAGTACAAAAATCCCTTGTGCCCCTATTTTGCTTAAGAATGTGCTTTACTGAAATTTCTGCACATATGTTAAATTAGCTTTAACACTTTAACATGACAAATAGGGGTTATTACATAGCAATAGAGCATTCTGGCATTCCGTTTTAATGTAACATGAACATAATGATAGCAATTTTTGGCTTTGCCATTTTGCGGTAATGGAGACCTGCATCTTTTGCAGAAACAACTTGTGTATTTATTTTCCTTTATTTTTTTTCATGCTAACCTTTGTTTCCAGAGGTAAATTTAGCAAGAATTACAATGTGTTATAAAGCAATATAAAGTAACTGGCCTGTTGTATTTAATTTTTAATGAATATTACATTATTCACACTGAAAGAAAAACAAATACAACATATATAGCTAAATAAAATAGATCAGTAAATAGTATTCTTACCAATGGCCTAAGTTCTGGATGAGTCAAAATATATCCATTGTTTGTAATTGCAAAAGCATATCCATGAATACCTAACTGTAAGAGTAAATGAGAAAGAAATACTAATTAGCACGGTCTCCAGTAAATTCTTAAGCAAAAAATCAGGCAAGAATTTAATTATCCAGGGCTTAAAGCTGACATTCATAACCCTTATCCACATAGTATTTCATTATAACACATGCAAAGCTCTGATCCTTGACATTTTGTGAAAATGAGAACCCGTCATTGTAACGAATTCAGCATGTAGCACAATTTTAAAATGTCACACTCACTTTGCTATCTAGGGCACTTATTTCTCTGTGCTTTAAAGTGAATTAGATGTACACATATATATGAGACATCGTAGCATGTGCCAAAGCAAAGGGATACTGAAATGTAGTAAATTCACCTATTCCCAGGAGTGGCTAAGTTCAGCTTACTTCACTTGTTCAAGAGATGTTGAGAATCATTTAAATAAATAGTACTGAATGTACAATTATAGTGAGCAAGCAGTGGCACGTCATATGTGGTATTTACATCTTCCAGTCTTAAAAGCATTTTACCTCTCTGTTTGTTAAGGTTCATCTGGAGCCACAGAAGGCGGCGTATTTCCACTGAAGAAACTCCACTCCGGTACATTTACATATTTGTACCGAGTGGAACTCTGGGAGATCATTTGAGAGCAATGAAATGCTTTATGAGGCCTAACGGTATATGTAATCAAATTTAGCACTGTACTTATTTAAATAACAATAGTACTCTTTTAACAATATGCCTATTACACAGTTGATTGCACCCACTGAATGCAATAAATGTACCTTCAAATCATTCATGTGGTCATTCAAACATCCCTTCTTCACATAAACTTGTTGCTAACATGGAATCTTTCTGCAGCTTCAGTATGTAACTTTTACCATGCAAAGAGTATATCTCACTATACTTTATCACATTTTTTTTCAGTTCTGAAGTAACATAATATAACATCCCATATATCTTAAGTATCGTGATGAACTGAGGTATTAAAACCCAGCCAACCAAACAAAAAAACCACACCCCAAACTCCAGAACTATCTTGCTTTGCTATTTACATTTCTCACTACTAACAGCCTTTTTATTTTACTTCAGTACATTCTTAAATGCTTTCCTGAAGTAGGTGCTTAGGAATTTGTCTGGCATAAAGCAAAGTGAGCAAGGTTGACAAGTCAGAATCATTTCTAAGAGGCAAGTAGGACAGCAAGTCTGTTGGCTTCTGTAATTTTCTGGAAACATAAACCAGAGTATGATATTCTGGCAAGGTCATAGAGAAAACATACCAGGTAGATTTATACTGTCTCTCTGTGAATGATTGTATACGGTCAACTGTATCTGCCATATAGAAGATTGTTTCATAAATTAGCGGTTTTCCTAAAGCAATAAACTTCAGTGAAAGTAGTAGAAGATGATATGTTCTTGGCATCTCTTCATAAAGGAGATAACCAAAATAATAACAGTGGACATATTTTACCTATTATAGTATGACAAGTGAACTAGCTGTTGGCTAAATATCAGATCTTGGGTATAATTATCTGTGTTGACAACTGCAGAATGACATCCAAGCAATGGAAGTCAGGTACGGAAACAAATGTGGGCGGTATACTTCACAAAATATTTGTCTATTTGAAGCATACCCAGACTCCAAGGGTAGTATTTTATTGTGTGTTGTGCAATATGTGAAACTGCATACTCTCTGCACTTAAAATGATGTGGTTTGAGAGATACTGCCACGTACAGTAGTATTGCCATCTTAAACCTTGAACTGTGTCCCTAAATGACAGTTTCAGAAACAAAAAAACTTTTTCTAACTGCTATAAGATGCCACATGAAAACTAAGTATTCCTAAATCCAACCCTACCTTATTGAGGAGAAACTGTCGCTGACATCTGGGGAAGTTTAGTCTGGATAATAACTGCTGAAAATAGCTTATTGTTATTATTCATTTTCCTCAGCATAAAATCCACCTCATCTAAGCTAAGAGAATTCTAGGTCAGCAGAATTCTATTTCCAACCAATCATTTTATATCCCTTTGTGAATTTTATTTCACATGCTGCCTCTACAGAAATGGGTCCCAGGGGTGATTATGCTCTTGCAATTGCATGGTCATTTTACTGTTCAGAAATGTTTATGGTATGTGAGACTGGAAGTTATAACTCAAGTGATTTCACTAACCTAACTGTATTGCATGATATTGGTGCCTCCTGTAATAATCCTCTCTTGCATTACATCCTACAATATAAAATGTACCTTCAAATAATAAGTCTAATATTCAGAAAGAGGATTGTATATTACTTCTGCAGAAAACTAAATCTTAAAAAATATAATAGCAAATGACAAAAAGAGAAATTTTCATTTTCCTGCCTATCTTCTTTTCTGAATCACTCTCACTCTGCGGCAATACGTTTTATTAAAGCCCGACACACTCCCTAGGTTCTTGTATTCAGACTGTGTCTGAATCTTACACGTGACTTTTGAATAACATCACTGTGAGTGGCGTTTTCTATCCAGCCATGCACAGCTAGGCTTTAATTTCTTCAGTTACCACGGTGTTCTTCCTCCTCATTTCAAATGAAACTTGCTCTACCCATAGCTCCTTAGAAGGTTGCTCCAAAAACTGTTTCCATTGCTTCAAATTTTGGTCTCTCTTCTACCTTCTACTGATTCTGTATTTCTGCATGCACAAAAGTTTAATATAAGTTGTGGTTAACTAACTTTGGCGGTTAGTGTGCTGAGACTGTTCTCTGTTATTTATCCTGACCAGCAATGTCTGTATTCATTGTGTTCTGATATCGGTGTGTAGTCATCTGCTACCTCTTCCCATAGTCTGCAAACTTTTTTACAGCTGGGACAGCCTTTCTGTTCTGTTTTTGCATGGCATCTAGCCTAGTGGGATCCAGGTCCCAGGAAATTACTCCAATACACGTTATCAACATTAATGCCAGTATTTTATGCTTTTTTTAAATCAAATTCTTACTTAATTTAAACATTCCAGTTACTGCATATTGATCTACAAAATTATTTGGTAATTGCTAATGTCTTCAATTAGAATTAAAATCGGCAGGAGGATTTTCTTTTCCTTCTAACTGGAATTATCTACAAAAACACAGAGGAATATTCAAAGGCACTCGACATCAGCTTATTCCTCTACCCTCTTAGAAATCAGTAAATGAGAGCATGGCAAACAATTGAGGGAAGTATGACATAAAGATTTATACTCAGAACAGGTATGTGTCAAAATGTAGCTATTCCAATGACTGGCCTCCTTAGTAAAGGCTGTCTATGGTATTGTGTTATGTGCTTATTTGTCTTGCAAAAAAAGGAAATAAAGGGAAAACATTAATTTTATTTTAATTTGTGAATAAAACAGCACTATAGTAAAGTGATTCACACATAGTGAAGCAGTGAACTACTAGTGTATTGCATCAAATTTAAATGGAAAGTAATTCTATCTTTGCATTTGCCTGAAGCCTACTTTTACTGAATTACAAATGTTTCACAACAGATGAAGTGCATCAAATTTTGAAAAATTTTATTATAATTATTTTTTTAAGAATTTTATAGTAGAGTTGTCTCTGAGTTTGGAAAACCAAGTAGAGGGAAATATCTAGCAAATACTGAGTAGGAGAGAAGGATCCACCAGTCTGGTCAGCAGGAACTTGTTCAAATTCCTGAAATGTGCCACTTGCTTTAATTCAAGGAAGTGACTAATCTGGAACATGGAATTGGGACAGGAAGTTCCATACAGAGGCAGGAAACCTAAAGCCATGTTAAGGATAGATTTTTGGACCCTTTTCATAAGGGTTATGAAAGTTGTGCAAATTTTCAACATTAATTCTGGTTATTCTGTGTGGTGTTCTGGTTATACTGTATGGTCGAATCATTTCATTGATTTTATTGTGGACAATACAATAATACCTTCTAGAGCACACTGTGATCTGCAAAAATGTGAAGATCAAACCATATATTAATTTTGGTATTAAAAACTGCACTTGATCTCAGGACCAATGACATTTAGCCATCAGACACTACAAAGCTAAAATTCCTGAGGAAAATAAATAAATTATATTATACTGAGTATAAATGATATATCATTTGTGTATTACCTTGTATTTTGGAATAGTTTTTAAAAGCTCTTTAACTGGAACATCTGTGCCAACTACTCCCAGAAGAATTCCTTTAGATCTCTGAGAAGAACAATAAAAGATGCACTCAATAATAATGAACATTCTCTCTGCTCATTTCACATCACAGCTACTCTACAGAAGTGAATAGATAACAGACAAATTATTTTAAAAGTGGGGAAAGCAGATGCTGGAACAACTCATCTGATCAAATAGTCATTTAATCAATAATACTGCTCCTTTCTACTTTATCTACAATTTACATAGAAAAAGCATGCAAATTTTTGATAGCTATTGAGTCCCTCAATAGAAAACTTCCTCATGAAAAATAGCTTTTGAATTCAAAACTCCTGTTAAAATATGTTACACCCTTCATTCCCAATTTCTCCTGCCATTTGACAAACAAAAGAGAAAGTTTAAGCATTAAGGGGAAAGTACATGTACTTTTCTTTAATAACCTGTTAAATTAGCAAAGATAAACAGATATATACATAATATACTTATAACTAATTAAATTATGAGTCTATGAAATAGAAGCATATCAGTGCAAAGAAGAAAAGGATATAGATTATTTGCTATAAAAAGGTAATATAGAAGTAGGAAAACCCTAAGGCCCAACATCATCTGAGATTTTCTTTTAGACATAGGGTTTCATTATTTTACTATGGTTTCTAGAGTATAGTTTTTTGGGATTATTTGTCCACATTTTTATGCTAACCGCTGACAAAATAAGAAGAGAATAAAAATTTTTAGAGTAGGCTGAAGTCTTACTGGGTCCCTGAAAGCAAGTTCACTGCAGTCAACCCATTATGACATGACAGAAATTGTCTGAGTACTTACAGTCTCATTTTGTTTACTAAATACTGGCATGGCAACAGTTGTCATCAACACCAATCCCTGATCATCAGCAAGCTATATTTGAAAAAGAAATATTATCTCTAAGAACTAAGGAACAATTACAGACATGTGATTGCATTTTTTCAATTACATTCTCTTAATTTTAAATGAGAGAAGGCAATTTATCTAAATGACTCTTATGTGGTTAGACTTGCAGTCGGTGCAGCCCAGCCCCAGCCCCAGCCCCATTTCAACTATACCAGCTCTTCCCACCCCACCATCTGCATTGGCAGGAAAGATGCCTCATCTTCATTGCTATTGCAGTCTCCCATGCGAGATACGAAGGCGCTGAAATGTGGATTGTGGAAGCAGCATGTGCAGTAGCAAAGCAGCTGGAGTTCTGTTCTACATCTTTCCCAGTGCCAGCTCTGCCAACAATGCCTCAGGCTGTTTTCTTTCAGCAAGGAACAAGAGTTCATGAGTTGCATGCACTTTGTTCTGGTCCAGACTGAGATCTCATCAGCTAACACAGAAGCAGAAAGAGTGACAGTCAGTTAGGATCCCAGGAGCATCTTTGCTCCATCCAGTTTCAGTTTGCAGGACAAAGAGGTGGCATGAAGCATTAGCTCATTCTGCACATCAAGTTTCAACATATTTCTTCAATTTAGGGAGAAAACAGATCTCTCGACCTTGGTTCCATTTCAGGGAAACATGTAGAATACTTATCATTGGCCACAGAGGAGTGACATTGCTCAGACTATTGTCTCTTCACTCTTTGCACCCTCTGGCCAGGCTACATCTTTGCCATAAAGCAAAGGCTAACTGTGATGCTCAAGAAAAGCACTGCTCTGTATGCCTGTAGATCTTCACCATCTAGATATGAAAGATAACTCAAGCAGGAGAGACTGAGTAGCTGAGAGTTACTGTTAAACTCTTTCTGCCCCTATAATTTGGGAAGCTGTTTGAAGTTGAAGAGGCTTATCCATCATTTAAAAGCATGAGATATCCAGTTATAATCACAACTGGAGGTTTTGTAGAACACAATTCAAGTCGGCTTTGTGGCATCTGTGTTTTGCCAAATAGACAAGGCAATAGAGACAATCTTCCTGAGAAATACTGTAGGTGACAGTCATGCCAAATTGCAACTGTGATATTCTCCTGTCACCCCTCCATCAGTATCACACTTTCTATACTCAGGTAGTATTTCTAATACTTTTTTTTTGAGAATTGCAGCAATTCTGATTTTTTGTTAACAAAGCTTTTTGTTATTAATGAAGCAACAGCTATCAACTCGCCAAATTGTCAGAACACGAGTCATATATTATGACCAAAGTATCTTATGAAGAACGTTTCACATTAACAAATTGGACAAAATCTATAACATTACATGTCTTACAGCTCCCAGTCTGCTTCAGGAGGGTTTCAGTTTCCCAAACAAGCATATTTCCTGAAGCATGGCACTATGTCATGGTGAGGAAGAATGTTTGCAGACATCAGACAGGAACACAAATTGGGTTTAGGAGCAAGAAAATTTACATCTGTTAAGGAATCAATAGGGACATGAGGTGGAGCCAAGTTATGATTGTATTTGCTTTTTTTTGTTGTTGTTTTCCTTTTTCATAAGAAGAGGTATTTCCAGCCCTGGTATAATCCTTGATCTATTAAGCAATAGTAAGTTATTAAACAAAACAACCAACAAACAACCCGAAACCAAGAACTCAGCAAAACACTGAGAGTTCAGAGGTTGCACTTGAAAGTCAAATGCGGCTTAAGTAGCATGAGAATTTGCTCTCCTTGGCCAGAGTAGTACAGTTGAGCAGGCTGACATGATCTGTATGGAGAGGAGCCTTCTGTACTATGACAGTCAATAGTCCCAAACACACATACACCAGGAAGTGAAAAAGCATTATGCTGATTATGCGGTGACAACTTGGGGCACTTAGAGATTTTATATGATTGCCCAGGGTTGTTGTTCTCTGACATTACGTATTTGTCAAGTATCAGTACGGTATTATTTTATGAGTCCACTCATTCTCAAGAGATTACCAGTAACGGCTTATTGGATAGGATGCAAGCCAAGGGACAGTCAGTGAAGGTTTAGGGTGTTTGAAATTCTTTAAATGGAGAAAAGAAAAAAAAAAGTCTGAATTCCTGGGAAATTCTGAGAGAACAGGTCTTTATCTCTCAAAACTAACTGGAAGCGTGCAGACAGTGGTTGCCCTGTAATTATGATATCTACAAGTAGCACCAAGGATTGGCTGCTGCAGTCATCTCTATAAAAGTGCAATTTTATAGTCCAGCCTGTTTGTTTTTTTGTTTGTTTTGCAGATGAACAGGTTGTTGGCCACTTCCATAAGTGGAGTCAGCAAATAACTGCATGAGACATGACTTGTATTTGTGATGTTTCACTGAGTCAGCAACTCAAGCTGCAGTATTTGCTTCACAAAAATTGTTAGATTGTGAGGAATTATCTGCTGAGGAGAGGCACAGCTTTACTCCCTGGGCAATGACATTTTGGCAGAAATACTTTGAAATAGTAGAATGTTAGCCACTGGGTATTTCTGCTAAGACAATCAATGGTAGAGCCCATTAATAAATTGCAAAGGAAGCCATGATCTAAGTATTTTGCATTGTTGCTTTGCAAGCCTGACAATTTCTTACATATAGCAGAACCCTGTAACAGCTCATGAAAGTGTTTGAAAAATCTAGTGATTCTGAGAAAAAAACAAACAGTAATGTGCTCTCTAATCGCTAATAAAACTTCAGCTTATATTAGTTACATTCAGAACAAACATGTATCACTAACATCCTCAGGACTGGCTATTTTTTTTTTTTTTTAAATCATCAGTAGATACTTAATTAGAAGTTAATGCTTAATGAAAAATGTTAAATACCAAAACTCAGAATAAGAAAATCAATACATAATGATAAAGTCGCTGAATGACTGTACTAACAGTTCAGGTTATTGTGTAATTAGTAATAAACTCTGTGGTTACCCAATTATTATTTGCTTTTTTTCAAAAGAAAGTGTAGACAATCCTTATGATTCTCAAACTCATCAACTGGACATTAATAAGTCACAGGCTCAGAAAAGAATTATGTAGGCATGTAAAAAAGAAAATATACAGTATGTAGTCAAACATTTCTTACAAGAAACATTTTGAAGAATGATTTTTTTTTTTTTTTAATAAGTACAAAATGCATGTTTCTAAGCAGGCAACAAATAATTTGATTACACATAGAATTGGGGCAGGGGGCTGCTAGTGTTATTGGGAGATACAGAGAATGATACTTATCCTAATATAATGCAATAACATCACCAGATGGATGGTTACAAGTTACATTCAGTGAAGGGTCCTTGGGAATGACTGAAATGTGAAGCATCATGAATTTAATCTCAGTCTTTAAATAGGCCATACCTTATCCAATTTTGTTCTTCCAGTCTCTTAGAAGTAAACTTATATGAGTAACTAATACTAATAGTTACTGCCATTTTTACAAAGGTATGCTTTATGTGGCATAATGATTCCCCAGTCACGCGATTCAGAATTTTTTTAAGCTACATGCTAAGCTTACTTGGCTCATCCTTGCTAACTCCTCATATTCTGGGGGATGGCAGGGTTCATGGGAAACAAAGAGTAAGGTTTGACAAAAAAATACATTTGCACATTATATTTGTTACGAATATATTTCTGCTTAAAAGAAGTGTTGCTGGCAGACAAAGAGTGTTCACAAATAAGGATTAATTTGGACCAAAGTTCACCCGAATGTTGGAACCTCATCTAAATATATATGCAGAGCCACTAATAAATTTCAATCCCTCCAATACTGTTTTGAATTCTTGTTCTGTTCTCAAAGAAAACCCTCTATTTCTTTTCTTCCCCTCTACTACTACACCGGTTTGTTTACTTTCCAGTGCTTAATAATGTCTCTTTACACATTACTCTAAGTATTAACAAATGAAGCTCCTTTCTATTTCTTCAATCTTTATATCCCTGATAAGTTTCTAAGCTTATTCTTTACCTGGGGCACCATATTAGTTACACACATAGGCTCCGACTGACATTAAAGTCATGTCTCTTACCTATTTAGCAGCATATCAATTACTGCGTTTTTATTTCCAAGTGATTACAGAAAATCAAGAAAAAGGCAAGGAAACAAATGCTACTTCATCCCCAGCCCTCAGGAAAATAAAAATTCCACTGGCAAGCTCCAACACTTGAGGCTACCAACAGATGTGAACCAAGGAAGAGGTATGTGCTTTGAAGTGCCTTTCAAAACACTTTACTGCTCAGTAATTTTTGCTGTAAAATTAAACAATATAAGCAGCATTCAAATGCATCTAAACACTTCCCAGATTCAGTACAACATTCTGCAGGATATAAGATGGAACAAAATCAAAATTGGTAGAATAGTACAAAAATAGTCTCAAATAATGGTTTTTGTCGGATATTGCTGTCATTTCCTAGGGATGCTTCAGGACGTTTAGTTTCCAAATACCACTGTCCTCTGCCAGGACTTGGGTATCTAATTTCATTAGGCCTCTGAAAATTCTAGGCAGCTATTAATTGTTGTTGCCTTTTTAGGAATGCTGGCAAAATATAGCCATAAAGTAATCACTGAAAAACAGTTTAACAGTTTTAGGCCAGCAATGGTATCTGTGCACTTAGAATTTTGTTCTGCATAAACATATCTGCATAGACAAACTTGTTAAGGTCCCTTGCAATTTTTGAAGAAAGTACTTCCTGATTTCACAAGTGGATGTGAACTGCAGTTTCTTCAAATTCTTGGTTTCAGATTACTGGAAACAGAAGGAAACTAACACCAATAAAGGGTAACATTCAAAAGCAATGTTTAAGGCATTGTCAGATGCTTCAGTCAGCAATTTAAAATCAGTGAAATGAAAATGAAATGAGAAAATAAATATAAAGATCCAAAAATTTTGGACAGAAAAATATAAATGGAAAAACACGATGAATTACTCATGGCATTTTAGAAGGTATTATAGGTATCAAAGTCACTTCCTTGGAGACTAATTTCTTAAAAAAGGCAAATGGAGCCAGGCCTGTATTATT